TAGTTTTCTTAAAAGTTTCAGCCATATCTTAAGTGTTTTCGATTTGCGATTTAGGTTTAAGCAATAAGAACTTTCTAGCAACCTAAACAACTCAGGCAAACGAACAAGCGAAAACAAACAAGCAATCAGATCAAGCAAGCAATCGAATCATACAAGTAAAACAATCACTTAATCAATCATCATTCGTTTTAGGGTTTCTCTTTGCTTAACTTTCAAGTTCAGTTGTTGGTTCTTTAGCTTTAGGGTTTTGATGTTACCTTTCACCTTATGGGGTTGTATGGTAATGAACTGGGAGCTAAAGACCTCAGTTTTCAACTTGTCACGAGCGTATGGTCCTTGGAAGGAATCGCCGAGCAAAGGGGAAAGCAAACGGACGGACGAACTAGGGTTTTCAAAACAAATCGGCGCACACTGTATCTGTGCGTGAGGGCGCGTCGGTGGTTAGATCGACAAGCCGTTTGCACTGATGGATTCGTCTCGGCGAGGGCTTCGATTTGATATCTTGCTTGTTTTCTGGGTCCTCACGATTTGAGAGAACGACCTCTTTGAAGTTCTGAGGCAGATTTCTTTGCGTTTTAGGGGTTTGATGGAGATAGAGAAATCGTGAGATTAGGGTTTATGTGTCAGATCTTTAGCTAAGGGATTTAGAGGCTATCGTGCTGATAACGTGTTATGAATCTCGTGTTTTCTCTTATTAATGAATGAGGTTACAACTTATATATATACACAATAAGGGAGACAAATCCCAATTGGACTAGGAAACCCTAAAGCCCAAAGCCCACAAAGACTAACATAAACCGTCATTGGGCGAATCTTCTAGATGATAGACATGGGCCTTCTAAAACATGGACATGGGCTACGGTTATGGAGTTCATCCGTAATGTGGTTTACAACATAAAGTTTTTAATCTGTAGATAAAAAGCTAATGATTTTAGAGAAAATGAAAGGGTAAAATATGGTTCTTTTGTCATGATCTTATAAGTGACTTATTTTCTTCGAGAAGAATCTATGACTTCATCTCGAGAATCTTGAATGTTTTATAACTCAAGCATGAAGCAACCTTAAATTCTAATAAATGATTTACAATGAAGAGAATGGTTTATGGTTGGTCGGTTACATGAACTTGAAGGAAAGAACAAAGTATAAAGAGAGGGCTTTTTATTGGAATGAAGACAAAGCTGATATATAAGTTACAACATATCATAAACATTCAAAAAACATTTCTGTGTCCGAATCGTTACACGGAGACAGTGGCACGGAGTGGCTCAAGGGCTTTTCTGATCTTCTCAACTGCGGCTTGTAGAACGTCGAGAGATGTGGCATAAGATATTCGGATACAACTATCATCTCCAAAAGCATCACCAGGAACCATTGCAACCTTTAAAACAAACAGAGTCAAACATATGAACTTGTTAAAAAACTAAAAAAGGTCCAAATCTTTCCTAAGACTAAGTTCAAGAGCTGTTTTGTGCTTCTTGAGAGTAAAGAAGAACATTTTGTAGACGATGTTTACCTGAAACTTGTCAAGAAAGTATAATGCAAGAGATGACGAATCATTGATCAAACCAAAACCTTCAGCTTCTGATCCATAGTAAGCACTGAAGTCAATAAACAGATAAAAAGCTCCCTACAAGTAAACAATGCCAACAGTCAAGAAAAAGAAACTAGCCAGTAATAGCTTCGAAGATATAAGGAGAAGTACCTGAGGTTCAGAGATCTTAACACCTTCGATTTCACCTAAGCTTTTAACCAAGAAATCTCGTCGTTCTCTATATGCTTTAACCATCTCTGCAACTGTTTCTCCTCCAGCTTTTCCTAACCCAAGTGCAGCAACACCTGCTTTTTGAGCAATGCTACTAGCTCCTGAACTAACCTTTAAACAAAAACCAGAACCGATTTCCTCTCATGATCGCTGCTTTTTTCGATAAAGATTTAGAGAGAAATATGTTTATATGTAGATACCTGGCCTTGTAATTTACTGCAAGCTGCAACAATATGTTTAGGACCAGCAAGATATCCAAGCCTCCAACCCGTCATTGCGAAAGCCTTTACATATCATATGATCAGCAAAGAATTTGTTCGGTTGACATTAGAAGCAACTCAGTGATAAATACTTTTACCTTTGAGAAACCGTTTACTGTCAAAGTTCTTTCATACATGTCTGGCAAAGAAGCAAAACTTGTGTGTGTTGCCGGTGCATAAATAATGTGTTCATATATTTCATCCGAAAGCACCTATAAAAGAAATGAAGGAAACAGAGTTTTTTTTCAGCTTAAACAGTTGAGCAAAAACAAACAAACTGAAAAAGACCAAGGAGCGTTTTATTGCTATATACCAGAAGTCTTGGATGCTTAGCAATGATCCGTGCAATCTCTTCAAGCAAACTCTTGGGGTAAACAGATCCAGTAGGGTTGGAAGGAGAGCAGAGAATTAGAAGTCTAGATTTTTCAGTCAATTTAGACTCAAGGTCCTTTGGATCCAACAAGAAATTATTAGAAATCTTGGTAGGAATAACCACGGGTGTTGCATCAGCCAATCTCGCCTGTTCTGTGTAACTCACCCAATACGGTGCAGGAATTATAACCTGTTAAGGGAAATACAATTCATTGTTATAAACAAAATCATATCGAAAGAAGAAAAAAAAAGATCGGAAGAAAAGATTGGTTTTAATTACTTCATCTCCAGGAGAACAAACTGCGAGCACTGCTTGTAAGAGACTTTGTTTAGCTCCATTACTAACCAAGATCTGATCCGGAGCATAAGACAATCCGTTCTCCTCTGAAAAAACCCGAATACAAACAATTTAAACTCCGTTTCGCCATAACTGATTTACAAAGTAAAGGTGTTTCTTTATACCTTTTAACTTGCGACAAATCGCTTCTCTGAGTTCCGTAATACCTGCATTTAACGTATACCTAGTGAAACCTTCTCGAATCGCATTGACCCCGGCCTATAGGAAACAATTGTTGATTCAGAACAAACCACAGAGAGGAGGGAAACAGAACAGAACATAAACCACTAGGAGAAAGGTATTAACCTCAGCTACGACTTTTGGAGTATCGAAATCGGGTTCTCCTGCAGCTAGTCTGATAACGGGAACACCGGATTGAACAAGAGTAGCTGCAAGATCGGTTATAACCATAGTCTTGGAAGGTTTTAAGGATTGAACTCGCGGGCTAAGTGACATATCTACTGATGATGATGATGACAGAGTCTCAACATCATTTGGTTTGGCCATAGCACAGATTCTAGATGACATATTCCCTGACTTACAGTACCTAACCATCACAGATACAAGACCAAAATCAACTACATTGACCACCTCAATCTAAAGAAACAGTAATCAAACAACTGAAAAAAGTCTAAATTTTGATCAATGATTCAGATTTCTAATCAAAACAGTGATCAGGAAAAAAAACTCACGAGAGGGAGAGACGAAGGGGTTGGAAACGAACTGACCCGATTGGCTTCTTTGAATCTGGGAATGATTCGACTCTACCGGCGGCAGAAGTGGCGGAAATGACGGCGGCGGAGCTCTGAGTCGCCATTGGAGAATGTGGGTTGGTGATAGGAGAGATAAAGATTCGACCTTTGAGGGAATTTGTAAACGAGAGAGGCGGGTGAGAGAAGGTGGGAGGAGTTGGTGAGGGCAGAGTTAAGAAAATGGAATTTAGAAGAAAAAAAATTATATTTTCTAGAAAAAATTAGCCACCAACCCTTTATGAAACTGCAACCAGAGTTAGAAAGCTAAAGTCGCCGGCGGCTGATGATGTCGCCGGAAAGATAAAGATACGTCGTTTCATTTTATAGGTCAACAATTTTAAGTGAGTTGTTGGTTGATGTGATGTCCACCAGGTTTGTTGATTCTTGTATGTCAAAAACCTTTACTTATGTTTTTTTTTTTTTTCATGGAAGTTGCAAAAGAGTTACCAAATCCTAAATACTTTGGATTCTAAAACTTTCCTTATGTTTGAGAAGGTTTGATAACTTGGGTTAGTAAAGAAGTCGGGTCTGATTTGGGTCTACATTATGTTTTGTCGGGTTATCGGTTTATTCATGATTTAAATCAGGTTTAGTACGAGATTTGGCGGAAATCGTTTATCATTAACAGAAAAAGGGTTTTAACTCGAAATATTCATCTTTTGTAATGTTAGACATTGACAAAGTTCAAATGCGTAGTTCAAATGTGTAATTACAAATCGAGTCTCAACTTTGATTGGGATAAACTTTGCGTGGGACGACAACCCTTGGTTGCTTAATTTTTAAAGATTTAAAACCTTTGAAGTTTATATGTTGGTTTGATGATTGATGTGTTGTGTCGTGTCCAAGCGGAGCTGACGTGGTCTTGGAAGCCTGCAGCCGCCATGTGAATTCCGCAGTGGCCAGGAATTGAACCTAGGTGGCAGTACCCCCAGCTGGAGGCTCTTTACCACTAGGAGACAACATCTGGTTAATTTCCCTTCTTGTTACGCTATAATACATATTGAACCTAAACCTTGGTTTGTCTTTGTAATTTTTTTTTTTTTTCCTCAGTTTGTCTTTGTAATTGATAAGCGCATACATGTTTCTTTATCAAACTCACAAAGCTAGCGTAGTTTATATTTGCACATATCTCTAATTACACAATCTTAACACCAAATTTGACTTGTTGTAGTGACCTCGCCATATATAGATGGCCTTAAAGCATAGCCAGACGCGGAATTACCAATGCAAGCAGCAGCTTCAACATAGAGTTGTTGTTTCCACTCCCACATTGTGACTTTCATTGCCTTATTAGACTTGAAGAGCGAATCCTTTTGCTCTGCTAAGGCCTCGACATATTTTGCTTAAATACCGTCATCTAAAAAATTGAACCGTACAAAACCGGGTTAAACCGAAAACAATTGAAATTGATCCTGGTTCGCCAAAGAGGACCATACTTTAAACAAAGGGTTCGAACCGGATTATAAATCTGATTCGGTTTTGTAGTTTCAGCATTTCCGGTTTAGTTCGATCTAAAAATTATTCGATTACCGTTTTTTGTTTAGAATCACAGAATTAGAGAGTTATGGAGAAGAGAAGAAACATGAATTCCACCGCCGCTAATCGCTCTAACCAGGTTTGTTTTCCGGCCATTACTCACCGTCGATTTTGATTATGTTCCGACAAGAGTGTGATTCCGTTCTGTTTATCCATTTTCTCAGCCGTCTTCTGTTGGAATCAGCGACGGTCAAATCACCAATGACGAAGCTGAATCGCTTCATAAGAAGTAACAACGATTTCAACTTTTTCATGCGAATTGATTTCTATGTTTGTTCATTTAGGTTTTAGTCTGCTTTTGATTGAATGTGGTGGTTTTCTTCATAAAACAATGTTTCATATAGGAAGAAATGTTCTGGGTACGAGCTAAGAGAAGTAACTTGTAGTGACACATTCTCTGACAATGGTTCACTTAACAAGAAAAAACTCCATTATCATCAGGATCAGGTACTTGTCTCATTCATCAATCCAATAGAAAAACCTTAAATTTATAGGAAACTTGTGCTTTTAGAGAAGTAGGTCTCCTTTTTGAGTTATCTTGTACGTTTGCTGTGTAGCGGAGGATGAGTTTGACATCGATTGTGGCGGTGGAGACTCCTTCATCTACCGACGCTCCCACTAGAAGAACCATTGATCTTGGCCATGGAAGTGACCTCATCTACATTCAGAGGTTTCTTCCCTTTCAACAATCTTGGACTTTCTTTGATTATCTCGACAAGCATATTCCTTGGACCAGGCCTACTATTCGTGTCTTCGGTCGATCTTGCCTTCAGGTATTCCCACTTCCTCTTTCTCTCGGTCATTGTTTTTGGTATACATATGATCCATTGAAGCTTTATTGTGTCTCCTCGTGGGTTCAATTGAGTATTGTGAAAAGTAAGGAACAAAGATTGCCGTAGTCATCTCCATGCTTAGATTTCAACTTTTGGCTGAGGAAATTAATCCACAATCATGAAGTCCTTTGTAAATTTTGTGTTTGTCGCCTTCTAATACATATGCATTTTCCATCTGTAGCCGAGAGATACTTGTTATGTTGCGAGTAGTGGATTGACTGCACTGGTGTACAGTGGATATCGACCTAACGCCTATTCGTGGGATGATTTTCCACCTCTTAAGGAGATTCTGGATGCGGTTAGATTGAAACAACTATGATATGTCCCCTGTGTTCTAGTGGTCATTGGAACTAACATTTCTCCTTTGTCTTGTCAGATTTACAAAGCGCTTCCTGGAAGCAGATTCAACAGCTTGCTGTTAAATAGGTACAAAGGTGCCAGTGACTATGTGGCTTGGCATGCAGATGATGAAAAGATTTATGGTCCAACTCCAGAAATTGCTTCAGTCTCGTTTGGATGCGAACGTGATTTTGTGTTGAAGAAAAAGAAACATGAAGAATTTTCCCAAGGTAATGGGACCTTTTAAACACGCCATTGATTTAGTGTTTTCCCGAGTAACCAGGAACGAGGGAACGTTTGTTTTGGTGTGAACCTGCAGAGAAAACAGGGGACGGTGGACCAGCGAAAAAGAGGTTAAAGAGAAGCAGCAGAGAGGATCAACAAAGTTTGACATTGAAGCATGGATCGTTGCTGGTGATGAGAGGATACACTCAAAGGGACTGGATTCATTCTGTGCCAAAGCGGGCAAAGGCAGAAGGCACTCGTATAAACCTCACCTTCAGGCTTGTTTTTTAAACTGAGAATCATAGACAAGAAGGTGGGCTTGATCTCGATCTCCATTGAAAATGGCTAAGCTTAATTCTCTATAAACACTGATTGATGTAGACATTTCAAGAAGCAAATTGAACGGGAAGATTGATAAGGAAGAGTGGCAAAGTCTTGTCTTGTGCAGTCCCTCTCTTAAACAACATGTCTCTTTTACATCCTTGCGCCCAAGAGAAATGACTTGATCAAAAGCAGCCATACGAAAGACATGGAAGACTCATGTACCTAGACACATGCAGTGAAAATGAAGATAAAATCCTCACGACAGTAGGCACACTCACTTTTCAGAAGAAGAAAGAAGCATACAAGTTTGGAGGGCATCATGAGGGTGTCAAGAATGTTACTCTGCTTTGTTGTAAAAATCATAAGTAAAAAAATGAGTTCTATTTTGTGTCACAATAAATAAGTAAATAAGTAGAGTGTTACTCTGCCTAACTCTATGATATAGATTTAGTGTCATCTCTATGAAGATTCTGCCATATCATTTCATTGTGTGTTTCTCCTTTCCTTTTTGCTCAGGCACATGTTGGTCATGAATGTGATTTACGCTCCGAGGAGATGAATCAGATCAGTTTTTCATCTGTGCCCAAATGTTTGCTATCATCTCTCGAGTTTGTTGATTTTGAATTCCTAATCCGAGGATGTGATGCAGAATTGAAGCTAGGAAAGTACTTCCTAGAGAATTCAGCAGTCCTCAAGAAGCTCTCTACATAATATTTTTCAAGAAGAGATGACATGTTCGAGAAATTCCTCAGAATGCCAAGAGGCTCTGCGGCCAAATGTGAAGTCGTACTCCTTGTCTCCTTTGATTGGTAAATATTAGAGGTTTTATGATTTTTGTGTAGAGACAAAACGAATAAGAGTAGTAGTTTTAATGGTTGGTTTGGTTTGTGAAATGAATCAATGATAATGATATTGTCAAATCAAAACCCAATTCACAGCTACGGAACAAAATAAGAAAAGTAATCTAAAACCGTCCAATTCGATTAAACCACATTTGACCAATACATTCATTCTAGAAAGAAAAAAAAAAACACAAGAAATGGGTTCAGTTTTGTTTGGTATCTTCACATCTCACGAGTGTGCAAACAAGATATCACCAAATCAGTCGGCAATTTCAAACTTTACGGATTCGTTGTGAACCGAGTTCACGGTTTGATTTGGACCACTGAAGGGTGTTGTTGCTAATTCATGTTTTAAAGAGTAAAGCGAAGAGCATTCAAGGAGTGAGAAACAGAGCATATGGTACACTAAAGTCTAGTGATGAAGCAAAGTGTTAAGAACAAATCCAGTTTAACTCAAACTACAATCCTATATACAAATAATGTATAATCAGTTATGAAATATTGTGCCATAGTGAATCACATACAAAATATCTAAGCTCAAGAAAATACAAATTCCAATAGAATAATTCAATATTGAAGAAATAAACAAGCATACCTAGGACGACAATATTTTTTAAAACATTTTCATCACTGAGAAATCTCAAATAAACAAGGACATAAGGCCATTACAAGTAGACAAACAAGGGCACAAAACCACTAAAAGAAGACAAGACAATCAATAGAGCTTGAACATGCATAGATTAGGACCACACAACATATATTTCCAGAGAGTCAGAGAGACAAAACCAAGGAAGTAACTAACAGCGAGATGATGCAAAGGGTAAGGCAAATGAGTAATTGGAATAAAGAATTACGGTGACATATATATTCATAAATTCTAGTGACAAACCTGACTGATCTTAGACATAAATTTCTCTAAAAATCAGACTCATAAAAAAACACACACAACTTTATATTTTCCAGAACAAATCAACTATACAACTACAACTACACTTGACGAAACACACAAAACATATTATACTCACACTACACAAAACATCTTATACTCAAACTATTTTGATCTTTATATGAAGGAATTAAGATCCTACCAAAATTGGCAATTTATAGAACAATATTCGAGAGAGAATATGTGTAAATATGACTTGTTTCATTTTAGCTCTAGTCACTTAAAGACACGGACTCAGTCCTCCATAGACCTTTGACAAACAAAACTAGACCCAAGACTGTTAGACTAAATGATATGAGCGAAAAAATAGAAACAGAGTCGCAAAACTTAGAAAATGAGTGAAGGCAAACTTTACATGATAACAACATCTAAGATTTCATCCAACTGTGGTTGAATCCAAATAACCAAGGTCAGACCATAACAAGAACAACAAGAAAGCATAAAACTACAAAAGTAATATGAAATTATTCAAAAAAATCAGATTCCAAAATATTTATAAAGCTAAGAGACCTGCTGTGTTATTCAGCTTCAACAGTCACAAGGAAACAAGACAGCCAATTTTTCTAAAACACGTCATCACTGAGAAATCTCAACATACAAGGGCATAAGACCATAACAAGATGACAGGGAATAACCACACAATATATTTCCAGAGAGAAGAGAACCGAGAAAGTAACTAACAAACCAAATAATACAAAGGGTAAGCAAAATGAGTAAGTGGAATGAGGAAGAACAATGCACTCTAATTCCATCTAACAAAATATTCATAAATTATATTACTGCACAAAACTTCTCATGTTTTCAACACAAAAGGGTTGCATCACGACAAACCTGACAGATCTCAGACATAAGCTTCGGATATGAACTAACACAGAAAAACGCATTGTATCAATCATTCTACACAATTCAAAGAAGACCAGATATAGCAAGTACACACAACTATACCATCTTACAGAACAAAATTTAGCTGTGACATAGTTACTTACACGGCTATATTTAAACGAAACACACAAGACCTACATGTAAATGAATGGTTTTCCAAACAAACTTTAATGTCACAAACAAAATAAAAATGCAACTTTTGATCTTTGTATAAAGGAATCAAGATACTAATAAATATTTAAATTGACAATTTATATGAATAATGTTACATAAAGAATCACATACTAAACATGTAAGGCTTGCCTCCACTCATTTTCTAAGTCTTACGACTCTGTTTCTAATGTTTGTACTCATATAGAAAATGATATCATTCAACTTTGTCTGAATCAAATTAACCAAGCAAGAATAACAACAAGAAAGAATAAAACTACAAAAGTAACATGAAACATATTCAAAATCAGATGCCAAAATATTTATAAAGCTAAGAGAACCAATGTGTTATTCAGCTTCAACAGTAAGAAATCGTCAGTTTTATAGATTCTTTCAAACAATTCATCACCAATCACAATTTTTCTAAAAACACATCATCACTGAGATATCTCAACAAGTAAAGGCATAAGACTATAACAAGAAGATATAGAAGGGGCTCATAATATATTTACAGAGAGAAAAGAACCGATAAAGTAACTAACAATTAGATGATGTAAAGGGTAAGCTAAATGAGTAACTGGAATATGAAATGATAGTGAGAACAATCCACTCTAGATCCATCTAATAAAATATTCATAAATTATATTGCTGCACAAAATTGCCTCTGTTTTCATAATACAAATGGGTTGCATTGCATCACAACAAACTAGACAGATCTCAGACATAAGGTTCTCGAAGAATCAGATATAAATCAACACATAAAAAACTCATAATCGTAATAATGCTACACAACTCAAAGAAGACAGTAGCAGCAATCTGCTATAAATGATATGAGACAAACATTATAAACAAAGTCAAAAGATTCAGAAAATGAGTGAATGCAAACTTTACATGATGATGATCGCAGGAATAATAACATCTAAGATTTCATCCAATTCTGGATGAATCCCAAATAACCAAGGAAAGACCATAACAAGGAAATTTACAAGAAAATAACATAAACATATACCAGAAGATTCACAAAACTAAGAGAACTCATGTGTTATTCAGCTTTAATTGTAAAAAATAGTCAATTTCATAGATCATTTATATTTATAACCAATCATAGGAAACAGTGTAACAAAGAAACCATAAAATAAGTATATTCGAGTTGAGAGTATTGAGAACCATATATCAGAGAACTTCAAACTGAACCATTGAATTCAAAATAGAAATTAAGATTTATCAAGTGAATTAGTTTTTTTCAAATTCAACTTTAAATGCTGTAGCAATTCTTCTTCTATCATGAAGAAAGTATGTTAATAAGAAGGATATATACCTACATCTTTTAGAGATAGAGAGAAAAACTTAAGCAAAAGCAATATTCTTAAAATGGAAATATGACAAAGAAGATAAATCCAAAACTCTTACGAAAGGGTGGGAAAGAATAACCTGAAAATCTTGTGACGATCTTTGAAAACTGGAGAACAACTGCCTGCAAAATAAAAAATATATATGTGAAGGTAGAGAGATCTATGTAAGTTGTATGTTACTTCTTAATAATGTGTACACATCAATGAATTTGTTAAACAACAGCAAAAAAAAGTAAGAAAACATAATATATAGAAGAGATAATCATTTTACCTGAATTCAAAAATATAAAATATCAAGAAATTCACATACCTCGAATTTGTATGTAAGCTGTATCATGCATGCTCCATGAATGTCATACTTCTGCATATTAACATTGTAACAAGTAATTTTGATTATCATACTTCTGCATAGGATCTTAGGGACAATGACATTCAGAGAGGTAAATTTGATTACCTTAACCGAGCCGAGGCATTTGTTTTAATCTCGGTGACTAGGAACCCGAGAACTTACGGAAATCGGACTATAGCGTTTAGGGACAGGGACATTCAAAGAGGTAATTTTGATTACCTTAACCGAGCTGAGGCATTTGTTTTAATCTCGGTGACTAGGAATCCGAGAATTTACAGAACTGAGACTATCACGTTTAGGGACAGGGACATTCAAAGAGGTAATTTTGATTACCTTAACCGAGCCGAGGCATTTGTTTTAATCTCGGTGACTAGGAAGCCGAGAACGTTCAGAACTGAGACTATCACGTTTAGGGACAGGGACATTCAAAGAGGTAATTTTGATTACCTTAACCGAGCCGAGGCATTTGTTTTAATCTCGGTGACTAGGAAGCCGAGAACTTTCAGAACTGGGACTATCACATTTAGGGACAGGGACATTCAAAGAGGTAATTTTGATTACCTTAACCAAGCCGAGGCATTTATTTTCATCTCGGAGACTAGGAACCCGAGAACTTATGGAAATCGGACTATCGCGTTTAGGGACAAGGACATTCAAAGAGGTAATTTTGATTACCTTAACCGAGCCGAGGCATTTGTTTTAATCTCGGTGACTAGGAAGCCGAGAACTTTCAGAACTGAGACTATCACGTTTAGGACAGGGACATTCAAAGAGGTAATTTTGATTACCTTAACCGAGCCGAGGCATTTGTTTTAATCTCGGTGACTAGGAAGCCGAGAACTTTCAGAACTGAGACTATCACATTTAGAGACAGGGACATTCAAAGAGGTAATTTTGATTACCATAACCAAGGCGAGGCATTTGTTTTCATCTCGGAGACTAGGAACCCGAGAACTTATGGGACTATCTCGTTTTCATTCTACAGTTCAGGGACATTGAGAGAGGTAATTTTTATTACCTTAACCGAGAGAGGCATTTGTTTTCAACTCTGGTGAATAGGAACCAGAGAAGTTATGGGACTATCATGTTTTCATCTACAATTCAAGGACAGGAACTTATAGAGAGGTAATTTAATTACCTTCATCGAGATGAGGCATTTGTTTTCACCGTTTGATAAATACAAAACCTTGAGCGGTGTCTTTTCTTCTTCTTAATTGAAGTTGCACAAGGTCCCAACTTTGAACTATCTCCTTGTTTTTATCTTAGGAACCAAAGCTGCATAAAAGAGAAAGATAACTTGAAGTCAGATAAAAGACAACTAAACATAGTCGACGCAAGAAAAAAAAAAAGTTTCTGGCTTTTCACAGTATAATCCATGAAAGACGAAATATTTTGAATTGAGAGATTACATGAACCGCAAATGTAATTTCGAATTCTCAGAACAGAAATCAAAACGAGATTTGAAAAAACGCCCTATTCGTTCTGAAACCCTAGGATCTAAAATCCAAACACCGACGGTGGGAAAAGAAAGAAAACGCAATCAGATGAGAGAATCAGTAAACCCTAATTAAACTATGTTCTTATGAAGTCAATTTGATAGAATCTCAAATTCAAACACCGAATACAAAAGAAAACGATGGAAAACGATGGAAAAAGAAAGAAAGAGAGAAAAGGAACTCACCGATTCAAACCAGAGCTCTGATCGTCTTCCGTCTCTCCGATCGTCTTCCGTCTCTCCGATCGTCTTCCCTCACAATACTACCGACTGATTCCTCCGATGTTGCTTCCATACTTTAATTACTCAAGCCACAGAACTAGGAGCGAGCGTGAGAGAGAGAAGGAGAAACGAGAGAATCTGGATGAAAAATTAGGGTTTTGTTTTCTTTCTTTCTTCGATTTTCTTTCTTTCTTCCCTCACAATATCTGTAATCAGAATAATTAAGAAGACGAGAAGAAGAATATCACTAACGGTCATAAAAATATTTGGGCCTGAATTACGTGGCCGTCTTAACTAACGGTCTCAAAGACATAAACGACATGTGAGACATGAACTTTTATTTTCAGGATTAATTAATTAAGTAAAAATTATGTTAATCGAAAATTTAAATATTGATTTATTTTTGTATTTTATTTTACTTCAATTTTTTTTTCTATTAAAATTTTAAATTGATTTAAAATCAATAAATTTTTTATATTTATAGTTTAAATACAAGTGACTTTATTATTTTTGGCTTGAATATATTATTTAAGAAAACGTTTGTTCATTAGTTAAACATGAATCAGTAATTTTAATTTATAATTAGTCTATTTCAGTTCGTAAAATAATAAAGTTGGTACTCACTATTTTATCTGAAAATCACGAAGAACATGTTCATCTATAAATCTAGAAGCTTTTGTGCTCGCAACCACCCTTATAAAAAGCTCAAGACCCCCGCAACGAAGAGAAAAATTCATTCATTAGACTTAAACAATTTGAGAAAAACTCCATTGTAAACATCTCGAGAAGAGATTTTCATTGAATTTGTTTATTTAATTCATCAATACAAATCCAAATTTTTATTCTTATATTCTCTAAATCATCTTTGTATCATCCACAAAAATCTAGATTTACGAGATTATAAGTGTAGATCTTGCATCCACATTCACTCACGTTCATGCTTGTTTTGCAAACCAAGCATCATAGAGTCATATAGACAAGGTGGGCTTGATCTCCATTGACATTGAATATGCTTTATGTAAACTTTTTTTTTTGTATGCTTTGAATATTTCTGGTACAATAAACTCGCTGTTTCAAAAGTAATGTAAAGGTAGACGTTACTAAAAAAACTAAAAGCAACGTCCACTAAAATTTTAAAACAAAAATAAATTATTTGACAGAACATAAAAGCGAAAAAAAAAGAGAGAAGCTTTCTCACACCCAAACGATATTTTCAGTTTTTAAAATTTGAAACCTTTACTGATCAAAGAGTGAATCAGAGAGTAATGGAGGAGGAGAGAAACATGGCGTTGAGCGATCCGCATCATTCCACCGCCGATCTGCTTTCTTGGTCTGAGGTCCGTCGTCCTGACTACTCCACCGCCGCTAATCGCTCTAACCAGGTTTGTTTTTCCGGCGAGAACTCATCATTCGTCTGATTTCGGTTTCGATTATGTTCCGGCGAGTGAAATTTCGTTCTGATTATCCTTTTTTTCCAGCCGTCTGATGGAATGAGCGAGGTGCTTGGTGGCGGCGGTCAGATCACTAACGCGGAATCCGAATCGCTTAATAAGAAGTAACGATTTCATCTCTTTTCATGCGAATTGATTTCTTTGTTGATTCTGGGTTTTGTTAAATTTATCAGATTAATTGATTGTGAAGAAGCAAATTGTACTGGTGAAATGTTTCTCTCTACTGAATTTTGCTTGATTTTAGGGTTTTGTTTGATTAGTTGATGAATTAGGGTTTAATGAATCTGCTTCTAAGTTCTGAATGTGAATTGTTTTTTCAGTAAATGATTTTTATGTTTCAAGTCTCTTTTTCAGTGTTTCTTATAGGAAGAATTGTTCTGGGCATAAGCTAAAAGAAATGACTGGTAGTGACATATTCTCTGATAATGGTAAAGATGATCCAAATCACCAGACAAGAATCCATTACCATCAGGATCAGGTACTTGTCTCATCCATTTTTACTTTTTTAAGGAGGTTTATGATGATAATGATATCTTATGTGATGGTTACTGGTTTTGCAGCTAAGCCAAATATCATTCAGCGGCGAAGAGAATGCCATGAAACCAAACGATAATGGTAAAGATGATCCAAATCACCAGTCAAGAATCCATTACCATCAAGATCAGGTACTTGCTTCTTCCTCCATTGTACTCTTTTAAGGATTCAGTTGATGATAATTGTATTCTAAGTAATGGTTATTGGTTTTGTAGCGAAGCCAGATATCTTTCAGCGGTGAAGAGAATGTGACTCCGAAGAAACCAACCACTTTAAACGAGGCTGCTAAGCAAAAGGAGTTGAGCAGGACTGTAGAAACCCAAGCAGATTTAAAGAGTAAGAAGAAACAGGCATTGAACACCAAGACCAAAGCAATGAGTGGCCACGACATCTTCGCATCTCCTGAAAGCCAATCTTGCCGCTTGTTCGGTGCAACACAACAAGAAGTTAAAGGAAATAAGAACACGGGGGAATCTGGACCGAGAAGCTCGCGTGCATCTGTTAAAGCCTTTAACGTAAATAGTGTTTATACATCGTGGTGATATTTGGGATGGCTAGAAAACTGACGGATTACATATTTTTCTTCGACAGGGGCAAAGCAGCAGCAACAGACTGTTTAGTGAAGAACATGTTGTGAAGTCATCAAAGAAGATACATAACCAGAAGTCTCAGTCTCAGGGACTCACAAGCAATGGTATCTTCAAGTCTGATAAAATCCCTCCTGGTTATTCAGAGAAGATGCAAAGCTCAGCTAAAAAGCGGGAAATGAGCGGACACAATATATTTGCAGACGGGAAATCGGAATATCGGGATTACTATGGTGGTGCGAGGAGACCTCCTGGTGGTGAGAGCAGCATTTCGTTGGTCTAGATGAGTCTTAAAACCCAAGACACTCTTAATATGTTTTAAATGTTGTCTGACCAAAGTAGTTTGTGTTGGTGTGGTCTTTCTTTGTCTACGGTCTCATTTATAACACTAGATAACTTCAACACAGGCGTGTATGTGTTGTTCTCTTCTCTTTCTTTAAAAAACAAAATGGCTTCAGAGTTTTTCTAGTACGATGTCGTTTGAACTCGAGAAAGGTTAGACAAAAATTAAATCAAACGACTCCACTGGGGATCGAACCCAGAGTCTCTGGTTTCGTAGACCAGCGCCTTATCCATTGGGCCATGGAGTCATCTGTGGTTAATCTGATCAGCTTAAGTAAAAGATATCAATCTTATCATAAATGAAAGCTTTTGGATTTTCTCTGAAGTGACTCTATTTTCATTGGAAAAAAGAAATTTTTTATTGTGTAAACATAGTGTATATACTGTATAACTATATATAAATAATGTCACTTGGCCGACAAAAAAAATATAAATAATGTCACTTGTGGTTTATGAAGGACAATTTTGTTTGTCTTGTCTGGTTCAATCCAAATCCAATCCAAAATTTTCATATTAATTTGGCTTTAGATTTTTATAGATATCTGATATCCCATCCACTTGTTCTCAATTTGCTTTCACAAAACTGGATTTCAGTTTGTTTTCGGCCAACTCAAGAAAACAAAAGAAGTAAGGTGACATTTGTTTTTTTTGTATCTTCATGCAAGTCTTTTGTCGCATACCACATAAACCCGCTAGGCCCATAATGTAGTTATAATTAGAGGATATTATTTTCCATCTTAGGCCCAAACATACCGCATCACTAAGCCCATTCTTATGCTTAGCGAATCACAGTCACGCGCCCTCGGAATGATTTTTGTGTTCTGTTTCATGTGTGTTCTGTTTTTTTTTGTTTCAACGAACATAAATAGAGAGAAAGGGTAAAATAGACATTTTATAAGCCGTCCTCGTCAACGTGCTTGGCTTCACTTTCCAAAAATAGGCTCTTCTTCTTCCTTCAGCTTCTTCTCTTAAAACATTTCTCCGAAGAATTTGAGAATCTGACTCCAACTTTTTCGATCTTTCAAAAGAAGAATGGCGTCGGTGTCACCATTGGCAAAATATAAATTGGTGTTCCTAGGAGATCAATCTGTCGGCAAAACCAGCATCATCACTCGTTTCATGTATGATAAGTTCGACACAACCTACCAGGTTAAATCTAAATCACATCGATGATTCTGATTCTCTGTTTCTGTTGTTTTTCTTTTCTCATTTCATTTTTAGTTCTGTCTCATTTTTTTACGTTTTTGATCATCGAAAACAACATTTTTGAGATTATTAGATTCATCAATCCTAATTATCACATTATGATCGTTAATCACGTAAATTAAATATACAAATGCTGAATGTAAATTTCATTTAATTGTAATCTTCACAAAATTTATTAAGTATACGCATTTATCTTTGTTTCATTCGCAGGCTACTATTGGAATAGACTTCTTATCTAAAACAATGTACCTTGAAGATCGCACTGTTCGTTTGCAGCTATGGTAAGAAATGCTCTTTAGAAAGTTACAAGTTTAGCTTCTTAATTAGGTCTAATCCATAAACAATGTAAGCTCGGTTTTTTGCGATGAGAAAGCTAAGAATGTGAATTTTGCCTTTAGGGATACTGCTGGACAAGAAAGATTCAGGAGTCTAATACCAAGTTACATCAGAGATTCTTCTGTTGCTGTTGTTGTTTATGATGTAGCCAATAGACTCTCATTTCTCAACACATCCAAGTGGATCGAAGAAGTCCGTACTGAAAGAGCTGGCGATGTTATCATTGTTCTTGTCGGTAACAAGACTGATCTTGTCGAAAAAAGGTAACACTGTTATAAGCCAACATTACAATTTCTCTGTTTTTCGTTTGATAAGGTTGTTTTGAAAACGTTCTTGTTGTGAAAATTTTCAGGCAAGTTTCTATTGAAGAAGGAGATAGCAAAGGTCGTGAATATGGAGTTATGTTCATCGAGACAAGCGCGAAGGCAGGATTCAATATTAAGCCTTTGTTTCGCAAAATCGCTGCGGCTTTACCGGGAATGGAATCGTATTCAAACACTAAAAATGAGGATATGGTTGACGTAAACCTGAAACCGACTTCGAATTCATCCCAAGGTGATCAACAAGGAGGAGGTTGTTCCTGTTGATGATCAGAAGAAAGAAAAGAGATATATATTTCCCATGAACAAGAAGAACCTTAGATCGTCCGGTTTTAGATCACAGACTGGTTCCATCAATATCATTGTCTGTCCAAATGCTATATTCAAAGAAATGTAGTGAAATGTTAGTTTTCAACTATGAAACATGTTTTTGTGAATTCTGAGTTGTTACCAAGACTCTCTCTACATGTGAGTGTATCTTTTATTTTGACAATGGTTGAAGTGATATACAGTAAATTAGGAAAGGGTCAGTAAGAAAGATCTCGAAACCGAAAATTTCACTGCAAGGGAGAATTATTTCAGGGTAAGATGACATTAAGAAGGCAACTTTAGTGTAGTGTACTCTATACACATATTATGGAATAGTGAAGCTAAGAAATATATGGCACTCTCTTCAACGTTCCAATGTCTTTTGACAAGGAGAATTCACCATCTTCCCAATTTGATCGCGAACGTGGTATCGACTTACCTTGGTCTCGTATGTGGCGTGGTGCTATATCTTGCTCACGTCTCCGAGTTCTCTTGGATTTGCCGTCGATCTATCTATCTTTGTGACCGCTTTTTCTTATTTTGTCAACTTGTCATCTTTGTTGCTTCAAGCCTTTTTCTTGGCAAAAACTCTAAGCTTTGTAATGTTTTTATGCGAATGAACAAAAAACAAAAAACAGAAGAAAGATAGAATTTTGAAAAAAGAAAGAAATCTCATTAAAAATGGATGTCACGCATTAGACTGTGTTTCTCTCAGTCTTACAATTGTAAAAATTCCTATATAAATAATAAATGTATGCTTATCTCCTCTATAAACAATAATTGTATTATTTAAATATTGTTATTTATTTTTTTTGTCGTCTAGATTTATTATTAATTGCAAATTATGAGAACTGTTACATAGACGATTCTACAACTGACAATTCCTTCCGACCCTTACTAGATCCACGACAGACTACACTTCCTTTCTTTGTAATCTTGATGAATACCTTCAATGATCCACGACCTGGCGACACTTCCTTCTCTGCGTAGAATCCTGGCGAACGGCTATAATTGTACATCGCTGGAGATCTCTTGCACACTTGCCTCCATTAATCTGCAAATTTATTAATAAATCGCAATACATGGAACTCGAACCCTAGACCTCTTGGTGTAGAAGCATTAATCAACCCTTGGTCAACCAATGGGCCAAGGGGCTTCCACTAAATATTGTTATTTATTAAATCAAATTAATTTGTGTGTTAAAATATATTTAAATTGAGTTATAATTTTAATTATTATATTTATGGTGAAAAAATAATTTCTTTAATTTAATCAAATTATAAAGGGATATGGCATTCTTAATTGGATAGATTTTTGTAATTTCTCATCCATAAAAGTTTTTAGTAGATATAATAATAAACTTCTATTTTTTGTTTGGTCAACAAAAGATAATAACTTCTTATTATAATATTTTCTTATAAATAAATATTTAAATCACCTAAATAATTTACCTTACTAGGAAAAGTTTGCTAAAAATTTGACATAACATAACTTCATTGGATAAGATTGAAAATGATATATTTCATAAGCTTTGTTCTATTATATATACAGATACAATCACATATTAAAACATCTCTCTTCATATCTAACTTCATTCTTAAACTTAATTAGGTATTCTTATGGGTTATCAAGCAGATCTAAAGCCAATAAGCTATTTCACAGATCAATGTGGCTTCTGCAAGAAAAAGATTTATCCAAAGCTTGGTGACATATACATGTATAAGTACGTTTTTCATATATTCTTTTAAAATCATTTAAGTTAGTTGTTTTATTGTAATTGATCTAAATTGTATTCTTGTACCGTGAAAATATAGTGACACTCCCTTCTGTGCGGAGGCATGTCGAGAAAAACAGCAGGAGGCTGACAAAGAGAAAAATAAAATAGAGACGATAATTGGAAAAGAAGATGAAACTAGATAGGAAATTGAAAAGGAGACTCATAACAATGTTGATGAGATTTCATATCCAAATATTAGAAATGACAATAGTTTTTTTGTTTACATTTTAAATTTTTAATAGTCAACATTTCCATATAAACCCCATCATGTATCATATATTTTAAGATAAGATATGGTGAAATATTCTTGATATATGTAATAGATTTCTATGTAAGAAAAATCTATTAAAGCACATATTTTATTTTTTTGGTAAATATTTTCAAATGATTATGTATCAGAACAAAGATAAAAAAAAAACTATTCTTTTGACTAATAATAGATTTTTTTTCTTTTTGTTTTCCTTTTCTCTATCTTCTTTTTTAATATACGTGAAATAAAACAACTCTAATTTGGAATAGTCTGGTTTTTCACATGATAGTATTAAATTAAAGATTAGCTTATGTTGAGAGAAATTTTTTTAGTCTGTCGAGAGAAATTAAACAACTCTAATTTGGAATAGTCTCTAATTTGGAATAGTCTGTTGAGAGAAATTTTTTTTTGAGAAATACTTGGGTTCACCCCTAGGTGTGAATTTTTTTATTCACCTACTTTTATTTTAGCCATTCAGAATTCGTCACATAATAAAAAAAATTAAACTCATTTAATTATTAAATATAATCTTTAACCACTCTTTTATAAACCCAAACTGATATATAATCTCGTTTAATTATAAAATCTAAACCCTAATTCTCTTTTGTAAACCCAAACCGCCATTTAAACTCGTTTAATCGTAAAAACTCTAAACACTAATCGTATTTTCTAAACACTAATCGTACTTTCTAAACCCAAATCGATATTTAACCTCGTTTAATTGTAAAATCTAAATCCGTATAAACCTAAACCGATATTTAACCTCATTTAATCATAAAATCTACACCCTAGTCCTTTCTAATAAACCCAAACCGATACATAATTTTGTTTTAGTGGCAAATTAAATTTTATAATTAAATGATTTTTTTTTTTTATTAGATGGTAGATTCTGATTGATTAAAATAAAGGAAGTGAATATAAGAAAGTGTGTGTGAAACCAAAAATTATCGATATATGAAAGATGCTACAATTTGGGTAAAAAAATTTAGGGTGATTTTCCGAATAAATGGATTTGGGGTCGGGTTGCCACATAATAAGATGCTACAATTTCGGTAAGTCTTTGTACTGTCACACGTGTACCTAGTTTAGATGAATCTTTTAACATTATTACTTGATTTTATATTGGCCTCAAAGGTTGGTTTTTTACAAGTATTTGGGTCTGACCGTATAGACAGTATAGTGACCCAAATAACTCAATGAGTATCACCACTTGCCCACTAAAGTTTTTGCTACATGGTAATGTGGCCACGTTACTCAGTGCAAGCGGCTCTAAAGGTTGACTAGCTAGACGACCAAAACACTGAGCCCGTTACCCGACTTTTGATCAAAGTCCGGGTCAAGTAAGTCCTTCAACTCTTAAGGAAATTTGATGTACATTTACGTGAGAATTTGAAATTCAAAATTAGTACTTATGTCTTTGTTTGTACGTAGTAAGAAAGAGGTAAGATCAAAACCGTTGTCTCTCAACCTCCAAGAAGACAGAACATGGAAAAGACTTTGCGGACCATGCACAAATAAGGACTTTGCAAACCATGGATAAACAAAGACTATGAATACCCTACAACAAGTACAAAACCCTCCATGCTATACTATATATTGCCTTCACCCACACAGTCACAGATATTAAAATTAACTGTCCGCCAGTTGCCAAATAAATTAAGCAAAGTAGATGAATTAAGCAAAGTTGCCAAATAAATGAAGCAAGGATTTTTTTTTTTTTTTATATAAACCCTATCGGCTATCCGGTCGGTCTCGGTAGGAACGCACCGAGGTGCTACATAGTGGACTGGTCCACCGTGTTAACGGTTAGGCCCTTACGGGCTACCACTCTGCCTATTCCGAGTTTGGAATGCCTTCCGACTAAGTGTCAGGGGGTAGTCAGGCCGCCTGCATTTCTGGCTACCAGGTAAACCAATTGGGGCCTGGGCAAAAAACCCGGACCCGATACCCGAACCGATACCCGGACCGAAAAAATCGGATTGGGGCGGGTTAGGGTATTAGAAAATTACCTCATTGGGTATAGTATTGGATTACCCGTTACCCATTTAAGGTACCCACAAACCCAAAGCAATACACATATGTTTATATATGTATATAGATAATTAGATATATAGTCTTATATAGTTATATACTTATATGTATGTCCTAGGTTTTAGGTTTTGTGACTTTTGTCGTTTGAATTTCCTTTAGGCCTACCCTCATATATCGGCAATCGGCTTCTCGAATCACAATATTAAAACTGGAAACCCTCGTTGTGTACTCGGCGACTTTACCGTCACCGACAGCTCTATCGCGAAATCAATCGGAGGTTAGTTCTTCTCCTTTCCGTTTAAAACATTCATTTTTTTACCCTATTTGATTTGTCTGTTTGCTTAACACAATTAGGTGAAAGTTATGATTTTTATTGCTTCCTAGATGTCGAAACAAAGATAAAGATTTGAAATTCAAAGTTTTTGTCTTTACATATTGGCTTTAATCGAGTCTCTGAAACGATTACAAAGTCATTCTCTCTGGTTTTTTCACGAGCACTCAAAACTTGGATCTTCAAAGTTTCAGATTTCAATCGCTTATGGATGGGATATTGAGTTGCAGATTTTATTTTAAGTTTGATATTCATGTTTGGATTTAAGCTTAAGTTCACGGTTTTGACTTTCAAAACAAAGTCATCAGTTATGCACCACCAGATCTTGTTCTATGTTTTTCTTTTTCGAATAATCGGATTTATGTGATTATGGATTGGAATTTACTCTTAACACTTAAGAGTTAAGTAGTCATCTTTGTTATTTTGGATTGGATTTAATATCTAAATGTCATGTTTGATGTTCTATTCTCTTTATTTGATCATTTGAGTATGTAAAGTGACTAGATTTGAACCCGCGGTACACCGCGGGGCTATAATTTTTTTAAAAAAATCTAAATATAATTAGTTTTGTTTATTAATAGAGAGTATAATAAAATATTTCGACCTATTTTATAAATGTACCATCCATATATCTATATTAATAATTTTGAGTATATTAATTGTGTTTTAGGTTTAAATGGTATATCTATATATACACTTAAACGACATTTGGCTTTCTTCTTCTTCTTGCCTTAGTTTAGGAGAAAGATTTTTCTTGCGGTACACCGCGGAGCTATTATTTTTTTTTAAAAAAATTTCTCCTTAAACTTCCAAATCTAGATTTTACCCCGCGGTACAC